GCAATCACTAGATCGAATGCCTTGGCAAAGTCCAACAACGAAGTGCCCCCTCCGTTCCGCTCCCCGACACCAAAGCCGCCATGTACCTCAGTATAACCAACTGCAGACGACCCAATATGACCATTGAAATCTCCTCCTATGAATAACCTCTCCGAAAGCGGAATACTACGAACGATGTAATCCAACCCCTCCCAAAAACGCCTTTTAATCTCCTCATCCAAGCCTGCTTGCGGCGCGTACGCGCTAACGACATTTAAAGTACACTCACCCACCACCAATTTAATAGTCATTAGTCTATCATTCACCTGCCTGACCTCTACCACCAACTCTCTAAGATAGTTATCTACCAGGATACCCACTCAATTCTTACCCCGCAGGACTCCAGAGTACCATAACTTATACTCATCCACGTTTTTCGCCCTCGATCCAACCCACCTAGTCTCCTGGACACACGTTATATTAATCTTCCTCTTCTGAAGTATCTTCGCCAACTCTATAGACTTACTTATTAGCGAACCTATGTTCCATGACCTGATTCTCAACGTATAGGCTCCCTTGCCCCCTCTACCTCCCCTACCTCCCGTCCCACACCCTGAACCCGGCCCCACACTCTGCCACACCCGAGGACATGCCCTTAATCTATCATCTCAGATTGTAGCCACTACACCTACGACAAATCTCAAGAAGACTTACTAGTGCACAACGAACGACGAATCAAACTAGAAGGAAACAAGTGACTACAAGTACACTAGTTGAATGATTGAACTATTGTGAACCAAAGTAACCCAATTTAGCTAACACCAAAAAGGAAACAGTAGAATGGGAGGTACCAACTCCCGAGAACCAAACCTGTGTTGATTTGTTGTACTTGATGTAGTTGTACACTCACGCACCGCTTCCCACCGCCCGTTGCGGACGCTCGTCCTAGTTGCTCTCCTTTGCTAGTGCTCGTGCGCCCAACTTGTCTCCACAACTTCGAGAATTTCCCTGAAAACACAGAAAATACCACGACACGAAAACCAAAAAGGGTTGTCACTGCTACCACTGGTGTAGCCCTGATAGTAGTAGGGGAAATGTAGGGAAAAAGCAGAGAACTACACAAATATCTAATGAAATATATTGCCAGAACACTTGATAACTACTATAAATTAAGAAATAATGAGTATTCTTCTATAAATTAAAACAAATCGAAATTATACTAATTAAATAGAAAAAATCATTTTTTATTAGTTGCAACAGAAGAAGACAACAGAAGTTAGCTGTTGTTCGGAGCTTATATTTTCAAAATATTAATTAATTCTGAAAAAGAAATCTAGTGAAAAACTCTGTTGAAAAAGATTTAGCAAATTGGAACTAGAAACTTACCACAGAGATAGATCTGAGCTTGGATGAAGCAGATCGGAGATTTTTAGAAGCTAAAAGATATAAAACGAGAACACAAAAGGGGAAAAAATGATTTAAATATAAAGAGAGAGATTTGCGGTGGAAGGTATTAGTTCTTACAGTGAAAATGGCGTTCATAGCAGCTCAATCAATGAAGAAAAAAAATACGTTAAAAGAAAAGACAGTTCTAAAAAGAGATCAGATCTGAAAATGAGCTGATTAGATATTACCGTAAACGAGATGCAAGCCGATCGTACAGAAAAAATAAATAAACAAAAATTTAAAATTACATAACAAAAAGTAAAAAAAAAATGTGTTGGGAAGAGGGGGGGCATTGGGGGTGGGGGCAATGGAGGTGGTGCAGAATAACGAAAAAATAAAAATTTGAAATTAAAAAAAATGAAATTTAAAAAAAAAAAAAATTGGAGAGAGGAGGTGGGGTGGGAAAGGTTGAGAAGAAGTTTCGGAAAATATTTTCCCTTCTCTTGATAAGGAAAACATTTTCCTCCAATTGGAGGAAAATGAATTCATAAGGAAAATGTTTTCCAACACATTTATGTCAACCAAACATGAAAAAATTGAAAAATATTTTTCTTCGTACCAAACACACCCTAAATGGTGCTATGAAATGGTAACAGCTTCTTTTAACTACAAATCTCGAATTCGAGTCACGGGACTGAAATCATATGCTGGAGCAACCGTTTGTAGCTTGAGTTACAAATTGTTAAAGCATTGGCTTTTAATGTTAAGTAATCGGAGCAATGTGTAGATGATCAATATCATCTTAAAGAAGCAAACGGACTAATGGTTACAACTATAGCCCTATGAACACCAAGAATTCTTCTTTTAATGGCTCTATAAGATCATTCCTTGTGATTACATTGTCAACAAAAATATCTCCTCCAGGAGAACATTTTGCCAACTATTGGCTGATTACATTAACTTTTACTATTTAACAAAAAAGGTACAAATGAGTGCCTACTGTACATCACCATGCTTCAAGTATAGCAGCCAAGAAGTCTCGTGCTCGGAGTCCTATGAATATTCTGTACAACCAATATACAATTCTGCACTTCCTCATTCTGCTACTGCGTTTTTCCAGCAGAACGGGTTTCTGCTGTCCAAGCCTGCACTTGAATCCCTCAGGGAAGAAAGACTCGATAGCTCAACAAAAAATAAGACATAATAATGCATTTGTCATACTATCAGCCAGCTAATAGATTATTATGTCTTAATGCTTCTTCCTCAGCTCCTGCTCTCCCACCACTGGTGCTGATATCCGACAAAGAATAGTTATGGTTCCCCTCTCGGTTCATAGGAGGGGTGGCAGTAAATGCTGGTTCAAGGTTCTCGTTGACGCTCTTAGTTGGCCTCTTCAGTCTTTTTGGCCTTTGTTGCATGTCAATGTTTTGTGGGGAGCCATCTATATCATCTTCCATCAGTGAGTTGGGTGATAATGATTCAAGATTTTTCGGATTCTTTTGAGGCCTCGATTTTGGGGTTTGCTTGTCGGTGGAACCTTTCCTCTGCACATATAAGATTATAAATCAAGTCAAATTGAAAATTTTACAACACAGTTGAGCTTATTCATTGTGCAACAAGAAGAAGCCAAGGCAATTATTTTGAAACGAGTGTACAAGTATAACTTAGCCATTATATGCAGCAACTATAAACCGGGAGGTAACTTTAAGGAGTCAAACTGTGAAATGCAGGAAAGAGTAACTAGACAACCTAAGTCCGTGAAAAGGTCATTATCAGAAACAATATTCGAATCTGAGAAGTAATCACCTTTTTACTACTTGATTTTGCTTTCCCAGGATCAAGAGTGTCGTCCCCATTCCCAACAGATTCACCGTTTGTAAGATCTTCTAATGATGCATCACCATCCGCACCAATTCGTATGCCTTTGGTGCCACCTTTCCTCTTTTGTCTTTCTTTTGCCTGCTAATGATCCAACGCCATATTGCTCAACTAGAAACAAGAAATAAGCTGAAAAGGGNCATGGTCCAAAAAAGAAAATGTAGAAGTGGAAACCTTACATCCTTAGTTTGACCTAGCCTATGAGCTCTATCCATTGCCTGTAAATCTAAAGTTGGATTCCAGTCACTCTCATAGAAGATGACTGTGTCAGCAGCTGTCAAGTTGATACCAAGGCCGCCTGCTCTTGTGCTCAGCAAGAACACAAAAATGTCGCTCCTACGAGGAAATCAACATTAGTCAGTACAAATATAAAAAAATGGATTATAAGTTCCTTCGAATTCAAAACATACCGATGCTGGAAATCTTTGACCATGTCTCGTCTATCCATTATAGTGGAAGATCCATCAAGCCTCAAGTACTTATATTTCCTGTAGTGCATGTAGTCCTGCAAAACAGGTGAAAATATTAGCAATCTCACAAGTGAAGAGTTTCTTTATCCTCGCAATTTTAGATCCATTACAAATGCAAACTTTCCTAGTCATGGGGTTATGTTGCAGTAGAAAACATACTCTGGTCTTTGCAAACTGAGTCCATTATAAGACGAAAGAAGCAAATAGAGAAACCAATACAAGAGTCTCAACAACAGCTTCATATAACTTCATATGATAAGAACTATGAAGCATAAAGCATAGTTGTTAATGTTGTTATTATTGTTGTATGCTTAGTTTCACATAGTATGCTCAAGAAACCTAAGTTGTTCGGACTCGGGTGCGGGTATCCGATACGGGGACGGATCCGGGTATCGGATTCGGCAAAATCTAAATTTTAAGATTCGGGGTGCGGATACGGGTGCGGGGATTCGGCTAATAAAAAATAGAGCTATAAAAATATTGTAAATTTTGAGAGATATTCTGTGAAAAGTTACATGTATATTATAGAATTCACTCTTTCATTCTCCAAGATAATCATTATTCTTTCATTCTCCTAAATCTGTTTTATTTTTTATTTTAAGAAATCAAAATCTCAAGTTTTCTCCCAAATTTGTCGATGGACTCCGGTCAAAGTGTCCAAAGTTAGTTGACCGAATCCGGGACGTATCCCGCTCCCGCTCCCGTCCCCATCTCCTATCGGGATGGGGACGGCACCAAAATCGACGCGCAACTTAGCAAGAAACTACTCCATGATTCAATCTAACCTAAGCTTGGTAGGCGTTACGACGTCAAAAGAAAGCGACACTCAGAACTCATTGTTTATGCATAGGTGGGGTCTAAGTATCTGTTATCAAACAGTTATTCCAAGATGAGCTACAAGCCTCTCCCACGCATTGATGGCGGAAGAGAACCTGTACTATAAAGCACCGAAACACGGGAAAAGGTACTACATGACAAACATTATAGCAGTGCTTAATTTAGCAACACATGGTTATTTTCAATCAATTTAATAGCTTCACAAAAGTTTTACATGCAAGCTGCATTTTGCATTTATACCAGCTATGGTTAATGAACCAAAGCATGGCTGAGACTACCAGTAAACTTGCTTTCCCTCAGAGTCACACTCTTTTCAACTCTCCAAAGCTAAAACCAAATACAAACATACAGTTGCATAGGCAGAGAAACTGCCACTGCTACTAGCATCATAGCATTACAAAAAGACAAATCTAAACCGCCAAGGAGCAGCAGAAAGATTCAAATACCTCTATAATATCCAACATTTTTGTCATTTGTGCAAAGAGAAGAACACGGTGGTTCCCTGCCCGCAAGCGCTTTAATAGTATGTCAAGTGTTTGAAGCTTCCCTGAGTCCTGTAATTACATAGGATATTTAGATACTGTATGTGCTTAAAGGCACATAGATGTATTAAAGAGGAAAGGAAAAGAGAAGGGATACATCAATGGAAAAGATAACATACTGTTAGCATCTTTGCAGGGTCAAATGGTTGCACAGGTGGACATGACCCGAATATTTTGTATGTAAGCTGAAGAGCAGGTTGTGAGACAGGTAATTCAGAGTCTATCTCTTGTATTAAATGGTGTGTGACACCTGGCTTCCTAGGACCATTATATTCCGATGTGCGTGCAAACCCAACCAACAACCTCTTAATCCATGGATGGTGTAGTTCCTCGAGCATTTTGTAAGCAAAATTTCTATCCGAGCAATGAGCATTTATCTACAAGATACATCTGGTAGTTAGTAACCAATTGCTTATGCATGGAGAGCACAAAGTAAGAGCAAACAATGTAATACCACTTACAGGGGGTGCTCTTGTTCTAGGAATGAAGGAGTATATGGAATGTAAGAGATTAACATTAGATAAAAGCCTATCCTGATGTTCCATGACCAAAGCTTCAAATGGTGCATCACCAGGACCTGTGGCACGTCTTGTTCTTAATAAATCTGTTCCTGTCCTAGATGGAAGCAATAACATTCGTGTCACTGCTCTTACTTTGTCCCGTCCAAGGTGACTAAAATAGAGATCATCATCCTCAGACTCCATCAGCAAGTCCAAAATTTCATCTGAAAATTGTCGGTTGCTTCTCACAATTGAGAATAACAATTTTTCCAAGAAAGAACCAGTTGCCGAAAATGAAACCTCCATAGGTGACATATCAATTAACCGAGTAAAACCAAATGTTCCGCTCCGTATATAGCCAACATCTGACTTGTGTACTTCTTGCAGTATCGAGCGGTGAACATTCTCCGGAGAATATATGTTAAAGTACTTATCAAATAATTCTTTTCTTACACCTTGGGCCATAGTTGAGTGAAGCATGCTCGATCCGAGAGCTTCCCGGTAAACCAGCTTTGGTATCTGAAAGGGATTTATACGAAGAGTAAGTTCAATAAGCATGAAATTTCCTGATTATTAAGAAGTCCTACTTAGCCAACATTTCACCGTTTCCACATGCATATATTTAGGAATATCAGCAAGAATCATCTTGCTGAACTGGCTCTAGCCGATTCAATTCATAAAATTGGATTTACTTGACATGTTCTAGTAAAATTGAGCTCCAGAGTAAACAATAACTTGTTCTCCACGTTCTTTTGTGATAGTTTCTACATAATCTTCTATTTTCTGTAGATAAGTGAATTTTATTGACAGTAAGCAAATAGGGAGTAGAAAGAGGTAAATAGAACTGTAGACTGAAGCTCCAATCTACATAATCCAACCAGCATTATCTCTAGTGTAATCCAGAAGTGTACAAAAAGCACAATAGCATAAATCTGATCAAGTAATTTCTTATTCCATCACATGGACTTCGATTTGGTTCTCTCCACATTGTCCGCATAACAGCCTATGGGATTACATTTTAACCTCTGCCCTTCCCCTTCCAGCATTGAAGAGTTAAACAACAGTCTTAGACTATGCATCTTCTTGATGCTTTTTAATGGAACACCTTACTTCATCAAAAAAAAAAAACAGTCCTAGACATTGTATTGTTAGCACCAAAGAGAATCTCAAAAAGTCCATAGCTGTGTTGGTATGTTACAGAGAAATGAGTAATGATTAACCATCTTCACCACTCCTTCACATAAAAAACACCAGCTGATGTCTTATCAAATTATCTGCAGAAAATAGTGTTCCAAGCAGCTCTCTCAACAAGGAAGTTGATGCCGCAGGAGTTTGGTTCCAGGTGGTAGAACGACGGTGAAGTAGGAACAGTAGTGTCGGCATGATGGTGGATGAAGAGTGACCGGGGGGAGTTTGTAGCAATCTGAAAGGTTTTTTTATTGCGGTAAACAATCCAGCTAGGATAGTTCCCTTTTTTTGGATTATTATTTGGTCTCAATTCCACTTTTCATCGTCTCATTTGTTTAATCTCCATGTCATCTGCGTTTGAGATTCACGTGCCTGGAGACTGTTAGTATTGTGTTCAATAGGTACATTTAGCACATAGGTTAAGTGTTCAATAGGTCACACTCGAGGTGTATAAATGAAAATTTTTGACAAGTTCAAGGGGCTGTCTATGCACTATGCCATTAAATGACTGCATTGAATCAGACAGCTTTCTGTGTACATATAAACAATAATAATACCAAACAAGAAGCATAAAGTGATCTAAGGAGTACCTGGTATGTAACAGCACTTCGACCGCCAGAATAGAATACATCCTCCAGCTCCCCGAAGGGAGGAGGTAGAAGTGAGTTTGGAACCTCTCCAAAATAGAAATAAGAAGTTCCTTCATTTCTCTCAAACAGCTCTGGATGGTTGCACACCTAGCATTTTCCAACAAGAGAAATAAAAGCACTTGGTGAAAAAACTTTGGAAAAAATAACACTACTATGGAACCACTATAAAATTATCAGGTGATGCAACACGAAAGAGCAGTAAAGAAAGAGATTGATCACCTTCCTTAGCTGGATAACAATATTCATCAGGTTTAGAATTTTCTTCTCATTGAGATGCCCACGGCTGCTATCAAACAACTCAGCAAGGGATATCTTGTCTTTTATTGCTCGATAAAATGCCTGCTGGCGAGAACTCAACTTACAGTGCACTGTGATTTCAGTTTTCCCAGTCAACTCAGAAACCACATCCTTTTTAACCCGTCGCAGCATGAAGGGTTTTAAAATGGCATGCTGTTCAGAAGATTCAGAAAGAAGAAATGCATCAAGATGGAAAGTCTAGTTACCTAAGAAGATATTAGACTTTACCTAAGAAAATATACTAATATTATTCAGATTAACAGAGAGAAGAAAGATGGAGATATTATGACAGGATTTGATGAATTACCATCCAAAAAATTCCAGATAAGATTGACATCCATGAATAGCAACAATAACCACATAACAAGGATGTTTCTTCTAACTAAATACTAGAGCGATGTTCTTGACACCAGAAATATACAAGATGAGAATATGCAAATAAAAGAAACTTAAAAAGGAGTTCATGGAGTGTTCTTGACAAACTAAAATATAAAAGATGACAATGTGTACTATATGTCCATTTTTAGTCAAGTCAAAATGACAGGAAACATTCCTCAGAAAGAAATTGAATTGTTGTAGGTCATAAGGCAGCTGTATCTTAGGATATTGGATTGTCATAAACAACTACAAAGCAAAGATCCCTCACCAGCCGGCTGAGCTGGTGCTCGTTCAATGTCCCACCATGCTCTGCGTGGTTCTCAATTCTGATCAGAAAGCACAAAGAATTATCACCAGGATGGACAACTGATACATTAAAGCAAGAAACACCTTATACTGAAACATACATACCCTTTTGAAAACCATTCGTTGAATTGTTCGTGGCTATCAAATAAAGTAGGCATAATAAAGTGGAGGAGCGCCCAGAGCTCAGCCATGTTATTTTGAACTGGAGTACCAGTCAGAAGCAAACGGTTTCGACAATTGAAACTCAACAATGTTTTCCATCGTATACTGTTAACCAGAGCACAACAAGATCGAATGAGAGTGAGAAGTTATGATTAACAACTTGTTGCCGTATTCAGATTATTCAACAGGTGCAACAAGATACATGGATGCACAGACTTAAATGAATAAATAAATGTGCCAGTGTTTTAAATTGTGGATACATGGATGCACAGACTTAAATGAATAAATAAATGTGCCAGTGTTTTAAATTGTGGCATTTGAGAAATGAAAGTTAAATCAGTATTTGAGGTTCTTGTCATCATTTTCATCCCCTGTTGATTCTTACTAATGCTTATTTGACACGGCTAATCAATAAAAGAGTACCTGAAAACAGCTCTTGTATCTATGCTCCAATATTATAGATGGAAAAACAAAATATTTGTATATCCACAGGCATGGAAAGCAATTGAAACTCATTAAGTCAATTCCAAGCAGTAAGATTTCTAAAACTAGCAAACAAGAAGACAAGACAAAAAGAACCTAAAGTAATCCAAAAAATATTATTATGGTCTAATGACAGTAGTTCCATAGCATGTGCATATCTGCTTCCGAGCTTGTAATTTTGGTTAGTTAAGGTATAGTTATGTTCTTATATTCTTTTGCAAGGTAATGATTACACATTCAACTCAGGTCTTATTAAAAGTTGATCAACTTATAACCTGTGCAGTCACATGATACGGACACTGAATCATATGAGCGAAAGAGAAAACGCAAAGCTGTTGTATATGATTTTCTTCAGCATGAAGCATTACCACAAGACTCCATATACAACAAAAAGAATCGTTTATTGTGCAAGTTTTAGCAAACCAGCTCTGAGCTCAGACCAGAAGTTTTTCAGATAATTGAAGGTAGAGTTCAGCATGTTTTGGCTTTACAAAGAAATCAAAGTGATATGTTGTTGTTCCCAGTAGCTAGTGAGCTTTCCAACGAGAATAATACTTTGAATAAGTTTGCTAGCAACTAGAAAGCAAGGGTCCTGGTACTCAACAAGGGATTGCTTAGACGCTTTAGCTTCCACCACATTCCAGTAAATGATCTTATTAATGCGGTTAAACCAAACAGTAGGACAAGGTTTTCAAGGCTGGACCACAGACCTGTTTGCGCTTTTGATTGCCTGAGCTTCATCCAGCACCATGTATTGCCATTTGACACGTCTGAAGTATTTCTCATCAGAGACTAGCAGTTGATAACTGGTAATGAGAATATGGAATCCAGCATCCCTGAAATCAAAGTCTGGTTAAATAACCAAGAAGAGGAACAAAATGCTAACAATTGAGGTTGCACTGCACAAGAAATGCTTTTTATAATTCAGATACAATTATCAACTTCATTACCAACTGCATTGGGCCATCAATACCGAGATAAGCTTGGTTCACCAAAAATTCCATTCGATTTTTACAAAATTGGGATCTAAAGCCTCCCCGTGTTAAGCAGTTGCTCATTATTCTGATTAACAACTTCGATTAAAAATTTTAATTAACTCAAGACTTCTTGACATTTATTTGATACCCTCCACCTCCCCATCCCCCAAACCTTCCCACCCTTTCTTTGCAATACTTGTCATACTGCTATATTCCTAGGTGCAAAAACCATCATCTAACCTATGATTGACTTTGATGCTTCAAGCAATAAGCAGCTCAGTTTTATGAAGCAATATTTGCCTCATCAATATTCATCATCAAATTAAAAGTGCCTTACCAAGCAAGAATGTCAATGAACAAAGAAAAGAATAGCAAATTCAGCTAAAGGATTATAGACCAATCAGCCGAAGTGTCTTTAAAATAGCTGCAAAGTTACTGGCTGAAAGATTGAAAAAAGTGATTAGGAAACTTATTTCTGGACATCAAAATGCCTTCATCAAAGGCAGGCAAATCGCAGATGCAGCCTTAATTGCCAACGAAGTTCTTGACTGGAAACTGAAGAGAGGGGAATCAGGCATCCTATGTAAGTTGGACATAGAGAAGGCCTTTGATCAACTCAACTGGCAATTCCTCATCACAATGCTAAGGAAAATGGGATTTGGTAATAGATGGATCTACTTGATGCCATTAATGATATTGCCTCATCCAAAAACTTATCAGTGGAGTTTACAGGAAAGAGATTACTCCAGCTATATAAAAATGAAAGACAATTAGCCTTGAGAGTGTGATTAGGAGTTGATATTCCATCAAAACATCTTCAATTCCTTTCTGTCCAGATACACCAAAAAATACAGGCAGGGAATCACTTTCCAGATTTTTCCTGATGGACCTACTAACTTCCCAAGAACTCCAGCATATGGAGCTAACAAACACACTTTTGAATTTACTATCTTTTGTACTATTTGCATCTACTTGATGCCATAATGATACTGTCTCATCTAAAAAGAGAAAGCAAATTCAAGAAATGAGGGAGACATGAAAGAACCAAAAGTGTAGGCAAGTCCATTACTCCTGTATTATGTATAGTAATAACCAAAGCCAAATGAAATTACCGTCGATATAGACGTTTTGGGTTAATATTCTTCCGAAGTACCATTCGCTCTTGTAACCCTCCCCAATATGGAAGAGTTTTTAGATCAGGGCAGAAACGACCAATTTCATCAGCCCAGTTGTTCAAGACTGATGCAGGAGCAACAACTAAAAAGGGACCCCATATATTCTTGTCCTGCAGAGCTCAATGAAGCCAAGTTACTGGACTTCTCAGCCAGAAAGATTTTTGATATGATAATTTACTACAAGACAGTTGATAAATAAAACATGAACAACTAGATCGCTTACTTCTGCCAAATGAGCCAAGAAAGCCATGGCCTGGATAGTTTTGCCAAGACCCATCTCATCAGCAAGAATGCCATTTAAACCCTGACAGATAAAGTTGAATGTTATAAGCCAGCCAAGCAAAATCTCCATAGAGGTTGAGCAAAAAGATCAACTTTCAGGAAAATGACAACTTACCTGCTCGTAACAATTTACAAGCCACTGGAGGCCTTTCAATTGATACTCTTTAAGAGTACCCTTGAATATGTCTGGTGTCTGTACTGTTGATGCCACAGGCATGGTTGACCTAAAGGTACACCGAAACACAGTGAGTCAGTACAGTCAGAGAGTGGAGCAACAAAATTTGTGCCACTACAATCTCTCAGCAAAAGAAGAAAGACGATATCTCAGAGGAGCTTAAAAACTCACGGATGCAATAAGTCTATGTTAGCGGCTGCGGCATCTTGCTGGGAGGGTTCAATTTCAGCAGCTTGCCGCAGCTTCAGACATTCACTATCAAATGCACTTGTCATCATTTTCTGCTTTGAAACTGCATCCTGTGCAGCTTTCAAGGCCTCTTTTCTCAGCTCAGCCTCTTCAGGATCCTCTTCCTCTCCAGGTCTAGCTTCACTGGAACTTAACAACATTTCTTGGTCATTTGTCATTTCATCACCTAAAGTCACAGCCTCAGAGGATAAAGTTGATTTATTTTGCATGAAATGGCTGTAAAGTTCAGTTTGAGATAGCAGAAAGTTGAGCCTTTGTTGTTGTCTCTTTGCTTCACGAAGCTCCTGTTCACGCTTCAAAGCTTCTGCAGCTTCTTTTTCCTCCCTTTTCCTTACTTCTGCCTGCAACATTAAAAATTTTACATCTTAGGAAGTCCTCTTGTCAAACAGTCAACAGCAGAAACTCGTGAAGAAGTATGTTCTTTTAGCATATTCAATCTTCTAGAGGAAACACGACTAAGGACATGCATCTTTATAAGTCCTTAATCCTGATAAATGTACACTTTCTTTTCTCATAAGTGTATCAATACTCCATTGCAAAGCTTTAGTAGGTAAACCAACATATAACCCAAAAAAATATTGGCTGAAAAGAAACTCTTACGGCAACAATATCATCAATTTAATATGTCGTTATCATATAAAATAGGGACAGAACTAGAGAGCCAGAATAGGTGAATATATCTTTATCACCTTTCACTACTTCTTCAGGATAGTACAGGCTAAGATGAACATACAATGTGGTAATAGTCTGAAAACCATCAAAACAGAGAGCTGCATCTTTGCTAATTAAGAATGCAGCTAACCATACTTGAAAAAAGAATGCAGGTAACCATGGCTGACTTTTCCTCGCTCCCTCCTCTCCGGCTGCTCAGGTTGCTCTCGAATAGCAACTTCTCATACATACCATAATAGCAAAAAGTTCACTATGAAATAATGTCAAAAAGGTAGAATTTAAGTACCATCTCCTTGTCAACTCTCTTCCAAAACACGAGCATGTCCCTAGCAAGTTTCCTTGTACGAATTGCAGCACCTCTCATCACCTTAAGTGATCTGCTAACTTTCATTTTTACCTGAAAAAGGGAACCCACCACTCAAGTAAGAACGTCCAAAAGATAACTAGCATGGAAATTTGCAGAATCGCACACAAATTTGTTCAACAAGATCCAGGACGCGCTTACCTCTCTCTGACAAGTTTCTGAAAACCTCTTGGCATCAGTCAATTGCTTCCTGTGGAAATTGATGAATATCTTATGATGTTTTGGGATTTCTTTCCTGACAAGGTTTATCCAATATTTTCCAATCTTATCCATTTCTTCCTTCTCAATCACAGAAGGATCCTTCTTCAGTTTTGGCTTTTTGGGTAGACTACGCTCAATAATCTGCAGCTCCAAATGACCACTCATATGTAAGCAACATGACTGATGCCCATATAGCTATGAGATAAACAAAAACTGAACTGCAATGTTAAAGAGAATTACTGACCTCATAGGTGTCTCCTTTCTCTAACACTTTCACATAATAAACCTGTAAGACACCACCCTCTGACAATATAGAACGCCGTATACCTCCTGCAGCCCCCTCAGGGATGGAAGAAGCCTCTAATGCAGCTTCGCTGACTTGCAGACTGAATTTCTGACCGGCACTATTAGCTGGCTGGGCTCGCAACCGTGCCTGAAGAGATTCAAATTGGGGTTTGGGATCACTCATACCTGCTTGACGTTTGGGCCCAAGTCTCTTATCAGAAGCCATCATTGCAGCCAAAGTCTCCAAATCAAGTGTACCCTTGAGGTAAATTTCATTAACTTGAATATCTGACATGGTTGGCAAATTCAATAATGTTGCCAGCTTTTCATAGGGTAGAGGGATCCTGTATGTGATGTCCTCCCCGAGATCCAAGAAAGCAGGTTCATAAATAGATCTGCAAAAATTCGAAAAATGAGGTGACACACTTTACCTTTTGGAGGCTTAAAATAAAAAATAAAAAACAACTTGGGTAAACATATTAGCATTCATTTCAAAAGATTAGGCGAAAGCAGAGAGACAAACCTATCACCACCATATGGTCCTGGAAAATCAGACTGAATATGGTTCCCTAACTTCTGAGTGCTATTGTTAAAAAATTCTGATGCAGAGTCAAGTCTGAGTGCTCCTCTATGATCATTTGTTGATTTCTGGTCTCTTGATCCTCCACCACTTCTCATCGCAGGCACCCCATTACGAGTAGCCGCAGGGCTTGCTGAGGAATTACCAAGCCTCCTCTTATACTTTTGAACGTGTTCTCCCAGCATTGCTCTATACCTTTCCTCTGAAATATGGGTATTATAACCTCTGTCCCCATCCCCGTCTTCATCACTACTATATGAAGTCCGCCTCTTTTTCTTCAACTCCCTACCAGACATTATACCATTACTCCGGTTCCTGGGTGCTCCACCTATCAACCAACATAAGATGTGGCTGATTATTACAACACTGCATTAGCTTAACTTTCATTACCTAAAGAAAGTCAAATTTGCATTATAATAGGATAAAGAGTGTGCATTTGCTAACTCAAAGATTTCTTTCTTTTGGACCAATATTAGTAATAACTGATTCTTAGTGAAAAGAATGTGTTATCAGTCACAAATTTAGTCCTAATCGGACATAATTTTTTTATAAGTACACAATTTTAGTCCTAATTGGTCATACTCATCGACCCAAATAATAAAGAATTCAATTTAAAAGAAAAGAAAAAAAAACAATGTCAAGAAAGAATGTCTACCTGGGCTACCTCTGCTCTCATCCTGACTACTATTCCCGTGATGATCAAAATCATCATCCAGTTGGGGCAGCTGGAAGTTAATCAATGACTATCCAAAAAAAAAAAAATTAAAGGGAGTAAAATAAGATCCACACTTTAACTAAATTAAGAACTTCCGCACACCCAACTGAAATTCGAAGAAAAACCCAGCTCAAACAAATTAAAAATATCTAGAAACAAGCAAATATAAATAGATTTTCTCGAAGAATACACCAAAAGAAATCCCCCACACAATGTCCCAACAGTAATACTAATTACCAGGATTTTAATGCTATAAATCTTCATCAAAGTGCTTTTTTTTTATAATTGAACAAAAGCGAGTCTGAATGGGTATACTTAGTCGTGGAGCAGACCGAATGACTCTATGAAATTACGTCGATACTTCCACATATTATGGGTAACATAGGAGACATCTCTATTTTTCCCCCGGGGAATCTTTAGAATTCCCACTACTTAGCTTTCAATTCGCTGCCAGAAGTCGTTTTGATATAAGATTTTATCTTGTTTCCATTTTATTTATTATTCCTGATCCGAAAGTAACATTTTCCTTTCCTTGGGCTTAAACGATTAAACGGGACAAAAAGTAGCTATTTGGATTTTAATAAAGCAAGACACTATTTTGAGAACCCAACTGAAATTCCAAGAGAAACCCAGTTCAAATTAAATTGAAAATCACTACAAACAAGCAAAAAACTAAACTTTCATGAAGAATTAACCATCGAATCTCTTCAATCTTGAGGTATAGATAAAATATCACTCCAAACATGCAAGAAAAAACACTCTTCAAGACTTAACCATACCCTAATTTGTGACAAAATTATCCTAACACTAACTAGCAAGATTTTAATATCACAAGACACCATTTTGAGAATGGAACAAAACCTCGCATAAATCATAAATCACTACAAACATGCAAAAGAAAAAACTAAACCTTCTCGAAAAAACTAACCATCAAATCCCTAATTTGTAACAAAATTATCCTAACACAAACTACCAAGACTTAAATATCAGAAGACACCTTTTTGAGAATAGAGCAAAGCCCATAAAAGATACCTCAAAAAGCACTACAAACTAGCCAAAAATATAAACTTCTAGAAGTTTTAACAATCAAATCCCTTATTTGTAAAAAAGGTTATCCTAACACTAACAATTAAGATTTTTATATCACAAGACACCCTATTGAGAGTAGAGCAAAACCCACAAAGGATACCTCAAAAAACACTAATTGCCAGAATTTTAGCAAGACGCCATTTTGAGCATAGAACAAAACCCATATAAATTCACAAGCTCCACACACCAAATGAAATTCCAACAAAAACCCAGTTCATATTAAATGAAAAATCACTCCAAACATGCAAAAAAACTGAACTTTAATGAAGTATTAACAATCAAATCCCTAGTTTCATTACAAAATTATTCTAAACTAACTACCAAGATTTTAACATCACAGACACCCTTTTAAGAGTAGAGCAAAACCCAAAAGAGATACCTACAAACATGCAACAAAAACAAAATCTCTAGCAAATTTAGCCATCAAATCCCTAATTTGTAACAAAATCATGCTAACATTAACAATGAAGATTTTAATATCACAAGACACCCTTTTGAGAACCGAACAAAGCCCACTTCATATTATATCTAAAAAAACAATCACTATGAAAAAGGCAAAAACATAACTTTCTCGAAGAATTAACCATCAAATTCCCAATTTACCACAAACTTATCCTAACTCAAACTACCGAGATTTTAGTACCACAAGACACCCTTCTGAGAGTAGAGCAAAACCCATAAAAGGTACCTCAAGATTGAAGAGATTCGAGTAGGAATATCGCCTCTTTGGGTCCATGAATTATGTTGTTTGAGCTGAAAAAACAACAGCGCGGACAAGCATTCGGTACAATAAATAAAAATAGCGGAAAAAGAAAAATTTGAAGAGAGGAATTTGTAATTGTAATACTAATAGTAAAGGAGAATAAGAGAAGAGAGAACCCTAACCCTAAAGGAGAAAACGAGGGATAAGGAGAAAGGTGATGGGTGTAACGAGAAAGAAGAGAGAAGAGGAGGTGGTGAAGACATTGGTATATGCTAATGTGCGCCATAGAGAGTTAACTTTGGTTAACGTGCGCTATAGTGACCACTCTTTTAATATCCGAGCTCTTTCTTTCTCTGCCTCAGTGTTTGTTGTGATGGAGGAAAGGAGCTTTTCTTTTTCAATAATTAAATCATTAATAATAATTAAGCTAATAATGATTCTTCTTTTTTTTTATTTTTCATTAGGTGTTTAATTCTGGTATCACTTTATGCTCTAACTAATTCGAGTTCGACCCACGTAAGGACTATTAAATAGAGAAGCACTCCTATCAAGATATTTTTTTTAATTTATAAGGCTCGAGTTTAAACTCGAGACCCTTAATTAAAAGTGCAGGAATCACACAACCACAATCCTTGGTGTTAACTATGGATTCATTAACCATGAATCATGATATAAGGGTTACATGTCCCAAATAACATTATTCGAAGAAAAAAAGATTTTATAACATAAAGTATTATGCATTAGGGTGTAAATACAACTAGACGTGTAAGTGGTCGTTTGGTTGGGAAACAAGTTGTCTTATGATTAATTATCTCGGGATTAGTTATCTCAAAATTGTTATCCCTCCTTCTAATATGGATAAAAATAACACTATAATCCCGGGATAATTATTATACCAAAATTTTATCTCAACTAAACGTGGAATAAACTCATCTCAAATTTAATCCCGAGATTAATTATCTTTTATCCTTCGTACCAAACAAGCCCTAAAAGTTCTAAGTTATCTATATGCTCCAATGATAGATGTGTCTAACTATGGATATACTATACCTTCATTAATAAAAGTAGTGATTACGATTAAAGTGAGCTAGCCAATTTTCAATCATGTAAATAAAAATAGTTTGTATCATAAAATTTTATATTTCACTAGTAAAACCTTAATAAAAGCATGAGAAATCAGGTCAGATAATGGGATATGTTTCTGATTTATAAATGGTACGTCGTACCCATATAGGTGTAAAAAGTGCTACAATATCAATCAAAGTGAATATGTCATAACAAATTTATCAAACAAATTAAAAAGATATAACTATAGATAAATGAGCTATTTCTACATTTTATTTAAACTTTAGAAGCGAACTAGTTTTAAATATCAAGCTTTTGTCTGTAGCAAGGTTCAAATCTCCGACATGCGACTAACTCATACATCACTTAACACTAGACTAACCCGTTTGGCCAAACTGCAAAAATCAGCTTATTTTGAGAAGTGTTTTTTTTCAAAAATGTTTTTCTCAAAAGTACTTTTGGTGAGGAGCAGTTTGTGTTTGACTAATTAGTTTGAAAAGCACTTCTGAGCAGCAATTAGTGTTTGGTCAAGCTTTAAAAAACTGCTTCTAAGTGTAATTTTTCTCAAAAATACTCTCAAAAAAGTGTTTTTGGAGAGAAACTATTTTTTTCTGCTTCTCCAAAACTGCTTCTGCTTCTCCTCAAAAGCACCTTTTTTTTCCTTCCAGAAGCTTGGCCAAACACCTCAAATTGAGGCCAAAAGTGCTTTTGGCCCAACAAAAAAAAAAGCACTCTTGGCCAAAAATGAACTTGGCCAAACAGGCTATAAAACCCTGTGAAAAAGTACAATAACCAGAGACTAGATATATAGCAAAGGCATATAGCCTCTCCTTGCATCATAAAAGGGGCATTCTTACACTGCCAATACAACAATTTTGCATAGCATTCATTCTAACTAGGCTGGAAATCAGGAGATAGTTCATACTTTAAATGTTCAAAAGGGATGATATTTCTAGCAATACAAAATTGACGCGGCACATAAGCATTCAAACTCCTGGAGTCGAGCACGTGTACGTCAACGATTTATCACTCCTTCCACATATCTGCAAATTCATCCACCTCCAGCGGATTAGACAACTGATGCATTTTTCTCCTGGTCTTCACTTTGACTTTCTTTGCATATTTGCCAGCCTTCTGTTTCTTCTCTAGTGATCGGATCTGGAGCAACATGAAGAGGAAAAAACATTAGGAAGTGTACAAGAGATGAATCGTACAACAAGCAGCTGGGGAGCAAGAAAGCGAGGAGCAAGAGATGAATCTTACCTGGTTTGGGGCAACGTAAAATGGGTTCTCATAAAGGGTAGGGCCACCAAAGCTACCAGCAAATATCTTAATTGGGTTCAAGCAAAACCTTGGGCCAACCTACACACGTAAAAACATAACTTCATTATCAAACATGATGGTTTCTTATCATTCGAGCTAGTCAAAGTTTGATTACAAACCTCAACAAGCGTCATCTTTTCTAGGTCCCCGCGATCGATTTTCTGTGTTCCAGTATGAGGACATGATATCTGCTCCAGAACGTCAAAGAATGATGTGAAAAAGGGTTAGAATACTTGGTATAGATATAAAGAGTACCTAAGAAATGACAGAAGCCCTTTCTACTACAAATCAAAAAAGAAATAACAGAATTCTTTGAGGTGAATGATATTAGACATATTTTTCGCTAATATAGCTAAAGAAATAGATTAAATCCGATAATTCAGCATTTGATTCAAGGGGAGACCATGGACTCCCACTTCCATGGCACACAAGTGTAGTGGTAGTATGCGTCGAAAATGGCAGAAAACTTACCCTTCCATGGATTACAAGACTAGTAATATTAGATGATCTCAACCACGAATACTAACTGAGTATTTATATCATCCTTTGGACTATAAAATATGTTATTGAATTTCCTCTGTTTTTTCCTTTGAGGTTACTTACTACATGATTTTGGTGAAAGAGAGGAACAAGTGCACGGTTTTTGCACTAGGTCGAAACTCGGAAGAATGAGGCCTTGCACAACCTATGGGCAACCCTAAGAAATTTCCCTCAAGGGGACCAAAATAAACTACTTGAAGCACACTTCGCTACGGGCAAGGATAAGCCACACAAAGAACTAATTTCTTCAAAAAATAGCAACATTCACAACATTCCACTAGAAACACATTTTACCATGGTACGAATAGCAACGAACCTGGTAATTACGGAACCATACGTGGTCATCTAGAATTGAGAACACAAATACATGATCATAGAAAGGTTTAGATTTCCGGTGATCCTTTGGGGTTCCAAAAATCTGATGAAACAGAAGAAAAAAGCGCGTAAGAATGTCATCACAGTAAATCAAGAAATCATGTCACTACAGAGCTAACAACTTTAAGAGGATTTACATAAAATATCTGGACAATGAAACGCAACTCAAACAAATAACCAATTGTATTTGAACCTTCAACCTCTAATGAAATCACGTTCAAAAGTTTGAATTTTCAAGAAAATGCTTTAACCACCAATTACTTTGAATAGCAGAAAAAAACATCGAATAGTCACTGCAGGCAACAAACTTCAATGAAGTAAAAGAAGGACCAGAAAACAGAAGTGCTTGTATAGGACCACAAAGCCAAAATGCATCAACAAAAATAGCATCTTCAGCAGACCAAACTACTATCATCAAGTAAACAGGTTTTTGCTTCAAACTCCTTCCAGTATAGAATTGCTAAAAGTTTAGCTAAAACATAACAGGCAAAAAGGCAAAAATGTCGTATGAAACAATAGACTGCACTATTTTAGCTAAGAAGAATTATTACAAAGATCAATGTCTGAAAGAAATCAGATTACCTGCATGAACATTTCTTTCAAAAGCTTCCAGTGAGGTTCTTTATTGAAATTGCTTGAGAAAGTCAGAATAGGACGTGAACCCTTCAAGTGATTTCCAGTAAGCTTTAATTCTTCCATTGTGTGCACTTCAAAAGCAAAATGAAAAAAGTAGAATAATTTGGACCTTTCCTCATTCAAGAGAAAACCAGGAGTGAGAGGAAACATTTTTTTTCTGACAAGGAGGAGTGAGAGGACAAGTTTTATTTTCAGTTGACATACAATTGCTATCGCATTCCAATTACAAATGAACATGATTGAAATCCATCTATTTCAATACCTGCATTGACTAAAAACTTCACAGATGGACCATTGGGACATTTCGCCATCCATAGATAGAGATCTTTTCCCTTCCGGCACTGAAAGTAAGAAAATAAAAGCATATAAATATATAAGAAGCAAACATAGCATAATGATTGAAACACAGAAATGATGAAACCATATCTTTCAAATACACAAAAACAGAATATGTTATTCAACAGAATTTCGGCTCACTGTAAGCAAGCCAAAAAAGTTACAGGGGAACTTCAGAACCTCATATAAAGATATCCTCCAGAACAAATAGTCCTCAAGTCACTTTTTGCTTATTTTCTGCAACAACTCAAACAGCCTCCACTATCAGTCATGAGCTAATGTCCAGAGGCTGTACTCCTCATACCTGAGAAAATGTACTTGCTTGATTTTATTCTTCCCCAGGTTATATATTCCAAAAGATAAGGCCACTAAGAAGCTGGGGATTTGACCATCAATCTGAGCCATGGCATGGCTGATTTTGTGCAATTTGGGGATGATCTCACAAGGGTAGAGAAGGCAAACAGGGAAGGGAACATTTGGTTTCCACTTTCCAGTAGAAGATTATAATCTTTTACAATGAATGTCCAACTGGTAATGAGCTTAAAATGCTCCTCGGACACATGGCTGTCCATCTTTGAACGCCCATGCATTTTATTGTTACGACTTTAATTTTGTCTAGGGGCGTCTAGAACGATAGACATCTACAGGATAAACATGACTAATCCAACAGATGTAGATAGTTGGTAGGCTTGACCAGGAATAGCCCACAGTCTTTTTTATCCAGTATATCTTCCTCTAAACAAGAGATAACAGGATTTGACTAAAGGATGGACAGACAAGTAAAAACATTTGTGTTCATTCTCTTCGTGTCCCCAAGTGGTTTATCGTCAAAAGATGTTGCAACATCGTGATGCAAAGTCTGAGCGGTTCTGCTTTATCTCTCATGGCTTTCGATATCGCAGATCGTACACTAATATTGTAAGATAAGTATGACCACCTTCACGTCGATTTTTGAGAGATGTCACTCCTACTACCGTGTTCAGTGTATTTGTAGCGAAGAGGATAAAAAATGGTAGTTTTCCTATCAAGTAACTGGATGTTTATTCATATACTTTGAAAATAAAAATAGCAC